AACTACTAGAAAATGGTGAGATCATTAGTGAAAGAAGGACCAACTACGATCCTATCCTAAAGGAGAAGGAGGAGTAAGTTTTCTTTGTTTGTAAGGCTCATAGGGCATTTCAATGTATTAAGAAGCTCTTTTCGATCAATCTCATTAACTGAATTAAGAAGAACTATCGAGAATATCACCTTTGTTTTCATTGCAAAGGAGCTTCTTAGAAGATATATTTCTAACCTTGTTTCAAGGGGGATCTTCAATCCATGTCTTCTCCACAAGGAGTCATGGCACTTTCTTAGAAATGTTGGTGTAAGAGAGTTGTGATAATTGTTGTCCTACAGTTGTGTGTCCTTCCCTTCATGCATATACTTTTGGCACTACAAGACTCCATTATAAAATTCTTATAGCTGACGATCGGATTTTCTTCTATGGTCACGATCATATGGAGGTAAAGAAAGAACCTTATATTGAGACAAAAATATTTTTATTTTTATTTTTATTTTTTTTATATTTTTTTCAGTCAACCAAGATAGTCTAGAGATGACAATTTACCCAAATCTTATTTTTATTTTATTTGGATGAAAACTTTGACTTCTAATTGCATCCCATAGATTTTATGCGATCTTCTTGAACATTTTTGTCTACTCCAAGGACTCTATCAACCCTAAACTATTTTTACTATAAATTAGACTCAATAAATCATATTTTGACCTTGATTACAACTCGATAAACTCTTAATATATTAAACTAGGACATGATTTTGACTAAGAAAATTGTCGATTACAAATTTAGAAATTGCTAATTTTGCTAATTACAAAATTAGATCCAACACTTTTTCATGGTAGAAAGAAATAACATCCGAATGAAGAGTATTGCTAGAATATTTTCCATACCTAAGTCGGATATATTTCTTTATGAACTTGGTAAGTGTTTGCTTTTCACTATACCAAGCAGATACTCATCAGTAACTGCAAACATTACCATACCTTTCTGCATTGTTTTGTGTGCATGGACCCAGTTGGTAAGTGTCGAACTAGAACTTGAACCACCACTAGAACCAAACAAAAGTTGAGACTGATTAGGATCCAAAGCTGTGTTTGACCAATTTGTTTCCTAGTGCATGTTCAGGTGGGTCATTCCAAAACCTTTTTGTCAAGTTTATCTTTTATTCTGGCTTTCTATCTATTGTGCCCATGACCACCAGTCTGAAGTGTTTATAACTCTCAGCAGTTTGTTTTTTTTGGATCTTCGTTTACTACATTAAACTATTGTATTGATTTCTTAATTTTCAACGTCATTCAAATCAATTGGATCAGAGATCCCATGCCCATGTTTGTCACCCAAATTATCCCCGAATTTGAATGTATTAATAAGAACTCTAAAATTGTGTGCTGGTGTGTAGAGATAAAGAGGGAATTTGAGCACTTTCTAGTGTGTTGGAGGCGTCAAACATTTCTTTGAACTCAATAGTCTCCAACAATGTAATATAATACATTTGGAATTGAAATAATATACGAAAAAAAAACAAGAAACAGGTAATTGTATTGTAGAAAAATGTGGAGATAATTTAGAGATAATGCAACTCAAAATTGCACAATAAAAGAACTAATCGGTAGAATGAAGATTGAATTGCAACAACTAATTGTATTATAGAAATTAGAATATTTTTTGTAATCAAAGGTTGGAAACGACATTGTCAAAATATTCAAAGCTTAGGGGTCCCTAGTGCTATTTATCTGAACTTTATAAGAAATAAATTAGAGTTTGTTGGTCATGATAACACTTTGATAGCCATGATTAATCAAATTAAAGTTTGGTGGCCATGATGAAACTAACCCAGATATTATATCACTCTTAATAGGAAAATATAGTGTGATGAAACTAACCCAGATATTATATCACTCTCAAATGGATAAATTGTTAAATGATAGAATTTGTTAAAACTAGTAGTTAAATATTACATAAAAAGTGCGTTGATCTCGATATGTTGATGTTTAAATGTCCATCATCCTTTAACAATGGTGGAAAGACTAATTTGAAGCACTGCAATTTGATATTTCTTTCCTCTGATTTGGAATGGATTTTTAGGATTGAGTGCTAAACTAAGAAATATGTTAAAACTGAATATTATTGTTTTTAAAAATTAGGAAATAAGTTGTCAAATTATTTTCATTAAATTGCTAAAATATCATTGATACGTTTTTATAATCGTCGCTTTTTGCTAAGACGTGCAATAAATAGATAGAGAATTACAGGCTAGCTTACAGTGAACGGATTGCTGTCATTAAATTGCCTGGCTGTAATTTATAAATTTTGCATATGAAATGAATGTTATTATAGAATTTCATATAATCTCGTTGAAATGCTTAGCATTCAAATGGAAAAAACGTAGCAGCAAATAAATGTTTATGCTTAGAATCTGTGACCATTGAATGTGCATCCGCCTATTTATAGACACTCGCACACACATTGCATAAGGAAGAAAATAGAGTAAAAACCAAATAGTGACTCACGAGTGTCGAAATGGAAGGAGTTCTTAAGAAATTAGTTGTAATGGCTTTCCTAGTCATGGTTGCCATGACTTTGTTGAAAGGTGGCCATGCCTATGGTCTGCCCAGATGCTGCGATCATGAGTTCAATTTTGACCCGAAGTGCTGCCATGATGCCCTGGCTGCGGCTGCTCAACTGGCCGGACCATAGCTTCTACTCTTCTCGTCAACATTGTAGCAACTACCTATAAATCTAT